AGGCATAGATCAAATGTGGCGCAGATAGGTGAGCCTGGCGCGTGTTCCACACGCGCCAGGAGTGGGCTGGGTCAAGACATGTTGGCGCGTGCATTGCACGCGCCAGCCAAGGAGGCTTTTGCCCTCCATGCGCGTGAAGGTGCGTGAAGGCGCGTCCCACGCGCCCCTGGCGCATAAGAGCGCGTTAGGGCGCGTCCCATGTGCCCCAAGCGCGTGCCAGCGCGTGGGGGCACGTGGGAGCGCGTGCCAAGTCTTGCAGCCTGCCCTAGTCGCGTGCGAGTGCGTGAGGAACCCTCCAGGCGCGTTCTAAGCGGCGTTTTGCTTCTCCTAACGCATACAAGCTTCCTATGGGTGTTTACAGACTATTAATGGACGCCCGTACAATAAGAATAGTATTTAAATGTTAAAAGCTGAATCCATTGGCCATTTAAATTGCTTCTGTCTGTAGTTTGATTATTTATGTGATGCATAGAATAATTTAATACTGATTATAATTATTCATGCATTGGATCCATTATTTTTTTATCTAAATGGCTTGATTTATATTAATCAAATTATGAAGATATATTGGATTAGATTGCTAATTAATTTGAGGGCATTTATTGGGAAACGGAAAAATTATTTTTATAAATTATTTTTGCCTCAAATTAAATATTAGTGAATTATTTAAAATCCATATATTTTCTAAATTTAATTGGATTAAAATTAAGGCATTTTTTATGCATTAAATCATGAATTGAAAACTCTAATTATATATTATTAAAAAAATTGAGTGGGAGCGGAGATTTTTAATACATTACCCCATGGCCTTCGTAATTATAACCATTGTGATTAGATCTTTAAAAATAAGGCTTCACGCATGATTTAAAGAGTCTAGATTACAAGAATGGTTGTCTCACGAAAATATATTTATTAAATGACTATTATAGTTAGATCTTTAAAAATAAGGCCCTACGCATGATTTAAAGAGTCTAAGCTATTAATGGCAATATATTTAATATTTGTTTTTTCGTTAGAGTATTAATTACGTTATACACTCAATCTAAAATTAATAATATTAGCTCCCCAACGGAGTGGTCTATACTAGGTGATTTTAGAAAGGCTAAACCTAATCGGGAATTATTTCATATATAGATAAGGCATTATCTAAAGAGATATGGAAATAATGAGTTGTTCTCGTCAATAAGCAATAATGAATTCCGCCAACTGGATAAGTTATTGGCATATTGATTGTCCGATTTTTCGTGCGATGTGGTTAAGGGACCCACAATTAATTAATTATTTTATTCTTGCATGATTATTTTTATTCACTTTATTTATTGTATGAATGCTTTTATTTTCAGATTTATTATGACTAGTCTATTCAGTCGACTTGCAAACATACTAAAAGAAAATCGATTAACTGGACCTAATTATATCAATTGGAAAAGGCAACTAGATATTGTACTCACATATGAGGGGTTAAATTATGTGCTTACTACTCCCAGACCTTCTCCACCTTTACCTAAGGATCCTCCTGAGGAGCATGAAGTTTTTAAGAAATAGAATAAAGCAGATGAGATGACTAGGTGCTACATTCTTGCTTCACTCTCGAATGTACTCCAAAGTCAACATCTTCAATATCTCACTTCTGCAGAGATCATGCTTAACCTCAAGGAAATGTTTGGGCAAATTGGTAAGAGTGCACGCCAAAATGCTATGACAAACTTGATGACCATCAAGATGGTCCAAGGTACTTCAGTTCGGGAACATGCTTTAAAAATGATTGGTTTTCTAAATGAACTGGAGATCCTTGGATGTAACTTGGATGGTGAACTTCAGGTTGACATGATTATCGCTTCATTGTCAGACTCATTTAACTCTTTTAGGGTTAATTATTCTATGAATAAGCTTGAGTACACACTCGCTGAACTTCTGAATGAGTTGGTAACCTTTGAAGGGATAATCAAAAGTAAGGGTGCATCTATCAACTACACTGAGTCTGCTGGACCATCCACTTCTAGGCCCAAGAGGAGGGGCAAGAAAAAGAAGAAGGATGGTGCTAAAACTGTGGTTGTGCCAAACAAAGTAATCCAAAAGGATAAGGGAAAAAAGAAAGTGCGGGTTGAAGGCGAAGGAAACTGCTTCCATTGCGGTCAACCGGGTCACTGGAAACCTAACTGCCCAACACTTTGCATGCAAAGCAAAGGAAAAGGTATATTCATTATTGAGGCATGTAATGTGGTTGAATCTATAGATTCCTGGTGCATAGATTCTGGAGCCATTAATCATGTTTGCAATTCATTGCAGGGATTCCAGGAGTCCAGAAGCCTCAATGAAGGAGAGATATACTTGCATATGGGATCTAATGCCAAGGTGGAAGCTAAAGTAGTGGGAGTGGTTCATATGCAGTTTGATAGTAGGAGGAGTCTTATTTTAGAAGATTGTCTTTATGCGCCAAATGTTAGGTGCAATTTAATTTCAGTTTCTTCGTTGGTTTGCAAAAACTAATTTTTACTTTTGGAAAAAATGTTTTAATTAAATTAAATGGTTGTGTTATAACTTCTGGTGCATTGAAAGATAGTCTATATGTTTTAACTCCTAACTCATATCAAATGCAAAATTATGAATTAAATGCAACTTCATCTAGATTGAATGTTAAAAGAAAAGCAGTTTCTCCAAACTCGTTGTATCATTGGCATCTACGATTGGGTCACATCAATCAAAATAAGATTCAAAGGTTGGTTAAAGAAGGTTTATTACCTTGTGAGGCAGAGGGGCCTATGCCAACTTGTGAATCCTGTATTGAAGGAAAGATGACTTGAAGGGCTTACTCAGTCAAAGGATATAGAGCCAAAGAACAATTAGAGTTGGTGCACACAGATGTGTGTGGTCCCATGAACACCCAAGCGAGAGGAGGGTTTTAGTACTTCTTCACTTTCATTGATGATTATTCACGTTTTGGATATATTTACCTAATGCGACACAAGTCAGAAGCTTATGGAAAATTCTGTGAGTTTCAGGCGGAAGTGGAGCGTAGATTAGGTAAACTTATCAAAACACTTCGATCTGATCGAGGAGGTGAATACCTCTTGGGGGAGTTCAAGGATCATATGGTTAATGAGGGTATTGTGCGCCAGTTATCCGCACCTGACTGCCCTCAACAGAATGGAGTGGCAGAAAGGAGAAACAGAACTTTGCTTAACATGGTTAGATCTATGATGAGTTTTGCTACATTACCTTTATCATTTTGGGGATTAGCCTTAGAATCAGCGATGTACATTTTGAACTGTGTTCCATCCAAGTCTGTTTCAGGAACGCCATATGAGCTGTGGTTTGGACATAAACCTAGTTTAAATCACATGCATATATGGGGGTGTCCAGCACACGTGCGTAAGAAACAGGCAGACAAGTTGGAAGCAAGATCAGATGCATGCTTATTTGTTGGCTATCCTAAGGGCACTAGAGGTGGATTATTTTATGATCCCAGGGACAATAAGGTTATTATCAGCACTCATGCTGTTTACCTAGAGGAGGATTATATTATGAACCACAGACCTAATAGCCAGATAGTGTTAGAGGAGATGGTTGGCACATAAGATATACCCCCTGTGGACACACCTAATATAAATACTGAGAATGATGAGACACAAGAAGTCCGTGTTGAATTACCATCATCTAGTACATCGATTCCTGCACCGGTCCTTCGGCGTAGTGGGAAGACTATCATCCAACCTGAAAAACTCACGCTTTTGGGTGAGGTCTATGAGGCCGTCCCCGATAAGCATGAGTCGGACCCAGTAAGCTATGCGGAAGCGTTAACCGATATAGATGCGAATCGTTGGAAAGATGCCATGAAATCAGAGTTGGAATCTATGTATTCTAACAAAGTCTGGGATATTGTAGAACTTCCTAGTGGGGTTCAGCCCATTGGTTGTAAGTGGATCTACAAACAAAAGAGAGGAATGGATGGGAATGTTGAGACATTCAAAGCTAGACTGGTTGCCAAAGGCTTCACTCAACGTGAAGGTATTGATTATGAGGATACATTCTCACCAGTTGCAATACTTAAATCTATTCGCATTCTTTTGGCCATTAGTGCTTATTATGACTATAAGATATGGCAGATGGATGTTAAGATAGCATTTTTAAATGGCCATCTTGAACAAGACATCTACATGAAGTAACCAGACGGTTTCGTGGTTAAAGGTCGTGAGGACTGTGTATGTAAGTTGAATAGGTCTATTTATGGACTTAAACAAGCTTCACGCACATGGAACATTTGTTTTGATCAGGCAGTCAAATTATTTGGCTTTGAACAAAACGTGTTTGAACATTGTGTTTATAAGAAAAAACAGGGTAATGTCATCATGATTCTCGTTTTATATGTCGATGACATCTTACTCATTGGTAATGATGTAGAGGCTTTGTCATCAGTTAAAAGGTGGTTGTTCAATAAATTTGAGATGAAAGATCTTAGAAAAGCAAACTATATTCTTGGGATCAAACTTATGCGAGATCGGGTTAAAAAGAAAATGGGCTTGTCTCAAAAGTCTTACATTGACAAAGTTCTTATCAGGTTTGGAATGGAAAACTCTAAGAAAGGGTTTTTGCCATTTAGACATGGATTGGCTCTTTCTAATGACCAGTCTCCCAAGATTGATAAGGAAATTGAGCAAATGAGGCGAGTACCATATGCTTCGGCAGTTGGTAGTCTCATGTATGCCATGGTCTGTACCAGACCAGACATCTACTACTCTGTAGGGATTGTCAGTAGATATCAGTCCAATCCTGGACTTGATCATTGGTCAGCTGTGAAGAATATCTTAAAATACCTTAGAAGAACTAAGAGTCTTATGCTCGTTTATGGAGGTGATGATCTGGTTCTAGTCGGATATACGGATTCTGATTTTCAATCAGATCCAGATGCCAGGAGATCTACATCTGGATATGTGTTCAAGTTCAATGGAGGGGCAGTTAGTTGGAAGAGTGTCAAGTAGGGATGTATTGCTGACTTAACCATGGAAGCAAAATACATTGCAGCCTCTGAGGCAGCAAAAGAAGCTATTTGGTTGAGAAACTTTCTAATTGAACTGGAGGTTGTGGAGCATATAGATCGGCCTATGACGCTTCATTGCGACAATAGTGCAGCCATAGCCCAGACTATGAACCCAAAATTTCATAAAGGAATAAGACACATTCAAAGGAAACATCATGTGGTTCGTGATATAGTAAAGCGAGGAGATATACTTGTGGCCAAGATTGCAGCGAAACATAACCTTGCTGATCCATTCACAAAGGCTTTACCAATCAAGATGTTTGATCGTCATATGGAGAACATGGGAATTAGATGTGATTCGAATTGGCTATAAGTGCAAGTGGGAGCTGTTAGGATATGTGTGCCCTAGCATAGCAAATTCTAATTTTGGATTGTAAAAGTCATGGTTCCTTATCTGAATATTATTATTAAAGCATTATACAATTGGTGAATGGAATGTATTGTTTTTCGATTCATTATGGAATTGATTGTGTCCACTTGATTACAAGATATATTTATATATGTATGTAATGGCAATTAATACTATGTTATAAATTAGTAATCATAAATGGTTCAAAGTCGGTAATTATATATGGACATTTAATTAGTTAAGACTTGAATCGAGTCCACGATAGATTGAGATATATTGCAAGAGCTGTCGTATGCAATTGCTCTTTATCACAATCATGGCTTTTGACTCTTAAGCATGAGAGAAGTATAGACTCTTTTATTAATTAATAATTACTTTGATTTGTTCGGCGGATACCTCGGGATCCTTAGATCGACACTTTGGGTAGTTATGTAATTAATAGTTAGAGGTCTATATTCTCAATATTTGCATCAGTGTTATTTGTATTTATTTTGTTTTGATTATGGTTGATCACAAATTAAATTCGAAGGCCTTCGTATGTTTTAGACAAATGTTTTATATATATATTTATTTAGTAAATTATTATTTTTGTCAAATAAATATTTTATTGTGATCGAGCCGGAAATAATCAAAGGTAACAAAATAATTATATTAATTATGTTGTCGGATTGATGGCTTTAATTATCCGATAAATAATTAAGCATAGAGGGGTCAAAGTGCAACATTGACTTAGAGGTTATTTACTATTTAATTGGAGTGCAATTAATTTCTTTTAGTGGAATAGAAATTAATTTATGAATTAATTAAATTGGGTCTATGGTTTAATGGATCGGACCAATTATTAATTTATAGGAGCCAAGAAAATAGTAAGCCCAAAAGGATTCTCACCAATAGCCCAAGTTGATATTGGAGTTCTGTTAGAATTGCGAAAGTTGATTTAGAGATGGAAAATGATTTATTGTTTCCTTATTCTTATTTTTATTTTGCCTATATATACATGGGTCTATAGATATTTTAGGTGTGACTTGTAGAACAAGAAAAAGGAATACACTTTCTCTCTCTAGATTTTAAGGTTTGTTTTCTCTTTTAAAGGAGGCTACCACAAGCCTAGATTCCAAGGTCATTCATCAAGGCATATTAGTGATTCCTAAAGGGAAGATTATAATCAAGAAGAAGGAGAAAGGATCTTGCTAAATGGATCTACAATAAGTGAGAACATTCACTTTACAGGAAAGATTAAAAGGTTTACTGAGACCTTTGATATAAGTATTTAATCTGTTTATTGAATTATACATCGTCTCTTATTTGTCTTTGCATAAAATTTGTCTCTATGTGATGAATCAAGATTCATGATTGCAAATCCCTCAAAAGTTTTTAAAAACTTACACGTTTCCCAACAGATTGGAGTGTTAAGGAATGGAAGGAGGCATTGAGAGAGGTTAGAGCACTCAAGGGCTGGGACGTGAACAAAACAACCGAAGGGTAACTCACTCTCTCTAATAAACACTCATTTTTATGTCATAGAATTTTCATTAATAATGTTGAAATTCAATAAATCAGAAACCATAGCAAGAATCTTCAGCCAAAGGGTGGGATTGACATACAATATCAAATTAAAGAAACAAAGACAAGGATATGAGAAGAACAAAAAGATAAAATAGTACTGTGACTCACTAGCTAGTCCCTAAAATATATTTAAACAACTATTAAATTTTTTTGAAATTTTCAAAATAAATCATTGTGTTAAAATCACAATTTGAGAAAAAAAAAAATTCATTTCTTTCATTATATATAATTTTATTTCCATCAAGGGATTAATTATCGGTTGTGTTTTCCACCTTGGAATTAATCAGGTATCAAGCAAAATTGATAAAGGAGAAGATTGTTCCGACAGTGTTGTTAGCGTTAAAGAAGAATTACATGGTTGTAAGTGACAATTTAGTTGGAATTGATAAACATGTAAATGAAATGATGAAACTACTAAAGGTTGGCACCAATGGTGTACGAATTGTTGGTATTCACGGCATGGGTGGTATTGGCAAGACAACTATTGCCAAGCTCATCTACAACAAACTCTTTGAGTGCTTTGATTGTTGTCATTTCTTAGAAAACATTCGAGAAACAGTGCAACAATATAAGGGCCTTGATAGTTTGCAAAATAAGCTTCTCACTCGAAACTTAAAATCGTGCCCTGACATTGCTAACACTGAAAGTGGAATCGACATGGTTAAGCAAAGATTTTTTAGAAAGAAAGTTCTTATTGTTCTCGATGATGTAGATGAAAGGTCTCAATTTGATAATATTATAGGGAAACGTGATTGGTTTGGTCCGACAAGTAGGATCATAATTACAACTAGAGACAAACATGTTCTAAATGTTATTGGAGTTGATGGGACTTATGAACCCCGACAATTGGACTATGAGCAATCTCTCCAACTTTTCAGCATGCATGCCTTCCGAAGGGGATTTCCTCCCAAAGAGTATCTTAGTATCTCTAGAGAGGTTGCATCCACTGCTGGAGGGCTTCCTCTCGCTCTTGAGGTTATTGGTTCATTTCTGTCTGATAAAAAGAAAAAGGTATGGGAAGATACATTGAAGAAGTTGAAGAAAATACCAAACGACAAGATCCAAAAGAAGTTGAGAATAAGTTACGAAGCATTAAACTATGAGCAGCAGCAGATATTTCTTGATATCGCATGTCATTTTAATGGGATGGATAAAACATTTGTGTTTTACATGTGGGATGACTGCGGCTATTATCCTGAAAAAGAAATTAGTATCCTTTGTTTAATGTCACTAGTAAAAATGGAAGAGGATAATGTATTTGCATGCATGATCAGCTTCGAGATTTTGGAAGGGAAATTGTCCGTCAAGAAAATTTAAAGAATCCTGGAAAGCGTAGTCGTCTATGGGATCATGAGGAAGCCTTGGACATGATGGAGGAACAAAGCGTAGTATATTTAGTGCAAAACATTTTGTGCAGCTTTGTTAATTGAATAACTAAATTTTTTCCGTATCCTCATCATGTCATATCCCTTAATACATGTAAAAAAACACATGGTTTTCATTTAGTTTAGAAACATGTTTTTTTTTTTTTTTTTTTTTTTTTCCTTTAATCTCGTGTTCATACATGATCGTTTTGTGTAACATAAATTTGGTTCTTTTTTTGTTGTTTATTTGTATGTAATTTTTTCCACTGGCAGGGCACAGAAGAGGTTGAAACCCTAATGTTAGAGTATATGAAGCACCAACCTTGCTATACAAATGAGGAATTTGTAAAACTAGTAAATTTAAGGTATCTCCAAATGGATGGTGCAGACCTTGCTGGGGATTTTAGGCATCTTTTTTCAAGGTTGAGATGGCTTCAATGGCGTGGCTGCCCTTGGCATTTCAAGCCAACCAATTTTTATTTAAAGAATCTTGTTGTTCTTGATGTATCACGAAGTGACATCTCAGAGGACTGGGAGGGTTGGAATCAAATCAAGGTCTCATACAATATCTCCAATACTTTTGTCTTCTGTGTTCCATCATATACTTGTTTTAAATTAATCGTTTTCATTTCTTTTATGAGATTGCAAAGAAGTTGAAAGTTCTCAATCTGAACATTTGTGCTTTCACAAGAACTCCCGACTTCTCTCCATATGTAACTTCAGAGATATTGATTCTTTCAAACTGTTTCAAATTGGTTGAAATTGACCCATCCATTGGTAATATGAAGAATCTAAAAGTGCTCAACATTTCGTATTCTCAGATAAGGGCATTACCCTATGAAGTTTGGATGTTAGAGAAGCTCGAAGTGATAGATGCATCACTTTGTCGTGATTTGGAAGGTGCATTCCTAATAATATTGGGAGGTTATCATCATTGAGATTCTTGACCTTTTATGATACCAAAATTCAAAGCCTACCAAGAAGCATTGGGGAGCTTTCTTGCCTTGAAACCCTTAATTTATACTGCTGCTTAAGCCCTCAATCGCTGCCAGAGCTTCCCTCAAGTTTAAAGAGTCTACAGGTCAATCATTGTATCCCTAATCTAGCAAATCTGGTTAACTTGCAGGAATTGCACTTTATCAGGATCTATTCACATGCTGAGACTCCGAGAGATCTTGGGAAATTATTGAAATTGAAGAAACTGACATTGGATTTTTGTAGCATTAGGACCATACCAAAAGAGTTTGGTCTCCTTTCTCAGTTGAGGGATCTCCAAGTACGATTCTGTCTCTATCTTCACTCTATCTTGGGCTTACCCTCAAGTCTAGTTGAGGTATATATAAAATATTGTAAGTCCTTGGGAAGATTGCCAGACCTGTCAAATTTGGAAATTTTGCAGAAATTATCTATTTTACACTGCGATAAGCAGACAGAGGTTCAAGGGCTTGGAAAATTGGAATCATTGATCAGTTTGGACATGGTAACATGCAATAAGATTGTGGAACTTGATCTGCTTCAACACTTGGCATGCCTTGCAAAAGGAACAGATGTGACGTCAAAATTGAAGAAGTTAAGAAGACTACAATTTTTTGATTGCCCGGGACTCCATACAATCCACGGGCTTGACAAATTGGAATTATTGGAACATATGATTTTGAGTGGTTGCACATCCATTGTAAGACCGCCCTGTTTGTCAAACTTTAAAAGGCTGAGATTCTTAATTCTTCAAAATTGCAGGAACTTGCGTGAGCTTGACGGCCTCGAGGCTTTGGAATTCTTGGAGGAACTGAACGTGTTCGGGTGCATATCACTGGAGAATATACCACGTCTCCCAAGCACACTAATTCGGGTGCTCAAGGATCCATGTTCTGATAAAAATCAAAAGCCAGGTATGGATTTGTTTCAGATAAGGCTCAGAATTGAAGGACTATTTCTAACAAGCCATGTGAAGTGATGTGATGATATGCCATTATATATTGCTGCTCTTAAATTGGTTTTTCCTCCCATTTTGTTGATGGTGTTAATTTGGTCCTCAATAGGGCTTTTCTTGATTGCTTGCTTCTACCAATTTCTTTCAAGTTTCGATATCTCAGTTCAGGTTATGATTGTGAGAATTTCTGTTATATATTCAAACATCATTTATCGGTAGTCATTGCGGGTATCAAAACTATTGCCCCTAATAGAAAACAGAGAAATGGTCATGTATGAGTCAACAACAAAAAGTATTAGCTGTCTGGAGGATCTTCCCTGTGTGCATAGGTAGGTCCTTATGACAACATTAGTTTTTTAGATACCCAATTTCTATAATAGTTTTGTAGCATCTGACTTTAGGCTTCTAGCCGATGCATCCAAGCTGGTACCAAGATCGAGTCCTACACAAGCAGACCTGATTTTAACAGCCGGAACACGTGCTACAATGGCCGGGACGCGATCCTGCGAGGGTGAGCTAACTGCAAAAACCTGGTTGCTAGGTATCATGAAAGAGACTCGATCCTAGAATTAGACCGTTCTAAACCTATATAATTAGGTGGTCATGCCAAATGTCCACACTTGAAGTCCAAGTGAGAAATCAGATGTTAGACTATCCAAACGATCCAAAATTTATGTAAGTGGTCATTCGATGCCAGAGCTATACTATTGATAGCACTTGCACAATAATCTGAAGTTGAAAATTGGATTATTCAAACCCCACAAGGTTGGATTTCCAAAATCTAGGTAACTCTGTCCATAAAAACATAAAAAATTGGTTATCTAAAACCTAGGAAATTTAGACTATTCGTAGCCTAAAAAGGTTGGTTACATGAAATCCAAGACACGCAGAATATTTGAAATTCGAATATGTTGGTTACCTAAACTGAGGGAATATTCGTAACCTAAAAGATTGATTATGTTTGGTTGTGATTCTTTTTCCTTCTTCTCCTTTGGAGATTTAGTTAAAGTAATTGAGGTTGAAGCGTGACGTGCAGTCTGCCAATTCATTTTCTACTTTTGTTTTTATAGGTTTATGAGACAAAGTTTTGGAGTGCATATATAGATGTGCTGAAGGCTAGCGGAAGGATGTGGGTAGAAGAATGAAGCTACCAGAAAGCTAGTAACAGAAGCATGATGGAAGGGAACAAGGATTTTTCTTCTTCTTTTTCCTTTGGCTTACTATTATTGAAGGGTTGTGGCAAGAACAAATTTATACTTTTTGTGGTGAATTGTAGGGTAAATTACATTGAACTCTCCTTACCTTTGCATTTTTTACTCGGACTTTCCCCACTTGTTTTCAAAAATTACACTCTACTCTTTCTTGTGAAGTTTTTGATTGACAATGTCAAAGAAAGTTACGAAATTACCATTTGATTGTTGGTACGGTTAATCATCTAAGGTACTGCTCGATTCAAAGGGCCGAGCCTTCAGTCCTAGACCCCGAGTGGTGTGTGTGGGTGTGTGCGTGTGGACATGCCAGGACCCAAGATGACCAAGGTTGGTTGAAGGCGATTGTAAGGAGGGAGGGGAATAATCCATCCCCTTCAAGGTTCTTTAATGCTTTGAAGATACAAAGACTTTTAACAAGTTAAATTAATTTAATAAGACATTCAGTAAATCAAAATCTTTAGTTGACAATAAGATTGTACCAATCGTCAAACCTAAACAAAAAAGTTCTAAAATGGCTTCAAAGTTCAAAAAAGATGAATAGTCACTAAATCTTTTTTTTTTAATTACTATTGGGTGACGCGGGGTGACGCATCCGGACACATCCGGACAGGCACTTGGCGTGACACCGGATCAAGAGTTGGATCTAACTCTGATACCAACTATTACGGGCCGGGTGCTTCGCGGTCCGACCTAAAAACTTAAGTTACTAGGTGAAGTTAACACCTAAATCATTTACAACACCTAACTCATTTACAGCTAATGGAAATAATATAAAGAAAGGGATTCAGTTACCTCAATAGTCCGAATTCCCGGAAGCACAAGATCTGAAAGCTTGTGTTATGAACTGTCCCAAAAACCACCGATGAACGAAATCCTTCTGGAAACCAACAAACTTGTTGATGGTCTTCCTCGTCAATAGAGCAGCTACCAGAGTCCTCTATATGTTTTCCACAATCCAAAACCTAGGTTGATGGCTACCAAATACAGAGATATAACCAGAAAGAAAAGATGAGGAGAAAAACACGATTGAAAAGAACCCACACTTTTGATCGTCCGCCAGAATTAAATAATCGACAGAGATGATTTAAAATTAAATCTTAACAACCCATGGATGTGATAAGATCCCTTTATCTTTTATCTTATCACATTGTTATATTTTGAATTCAAATTATGTGGATGCCCCACGGGTTGTGGGTTTGGGACAAACCCGACCCATAATCCAACATCTCCCACTCATCCACATAGGTTGAGTTCTTAATTCTCCATATCTCTCATCTACATATCTTGTATCTATTACATACAGTAACTGGATCGTGCGACTGAACGAGAAAGATTAGGGTATGAGTACTATATTAAGCTACTATCAAATTAATATAGTGCCTCATTATAAACAAGTAATCTCATTTATGCCCTAGACCATTCTGTTACACCAGATTCAGCACCCTTCATCCCTCTCGAGACTCATCCCAAAGTGATGCTTAAATCCCACAATTTGTATTGTACTTATGACCATATCAGTAAACACAATTTCAACAAGGTCGCCTAGGCTATGAGTCTCAACATGATAGTGTATCACATAATTATCTTCCCTAGCTACTTACATTAATCCTATTGGACTTAACCGCTTCCCTAGATATGCCTCACCGGACTGCATCAATCATGATCCTTTAGGTACATACTAAAGTAGCGACATTAAGTCTTCTCTTCATAACATAGTCCTAGGTTATAAAAGCAGAAGCGGAGCTAAAACAATGTGGTTATTAGAGCTTACACAGTGACGAAGCAGGATGCATCCAATCACTCTCTATTAGTGGTCGGATAAATAACACATACAGTATGTTATGTATGCTACGATGAAGCTCCCACTCAATTGGGCATGTCAAGCTCATAAAGCATCGTATGAATCGTAGTCTAACCTGAAACCTCCAACACAGTCACTCTCTCAACACCTGTTTGAATGTTCACATTCGGCTAACTTCAGGTTACATGAAGTATGTGGATTACCTTCATGTTCGCTTCTTATAAGAACCTCGTCTTGACCTTGTTAAGGTGACATATATCTTAAAACAAATTCTCCCACTAACTAAGAATTCCATGTCTCATCTTGCTCGCTATTTAAGCGCCAAGGCGATTGCTTATGTGACAGAGCCAATCTAAGCCTAATGACATTTTTCAAGAAATGTATGCTTACACAATAAAACAATCATCTCAATATGAACATAAAATCATTTACAGATGAAGGAAAATGTCATGTGGTGTCTAGTACATCAAATCTTAAGTAAACACAAACTCCTGACATGGGATGTAAAAACATCTCTTGGGATGGGTGTAAAGACCAGTTCCATTTTTTGATTTTTGGTATTTTCTTTTTTCTTTTATTATGGCATTGGGATACATGTTCTGGGGTCCATGAGATTCTTTTGAGCCTTTCTTTAAGTCCTAGACTCTTAGGGATGCATTTCGGATCATTTCCTCTGCTTTATATATTTTTTACACGGGAGGTCACCGTGTGGGTCCAGGACGGATTTTTCAGCTCGAAAATTATTTTTCGATGTCGTTATTTTTACTTGTCAAAAGTACTTTTGGTCATCAAAATGCGGAAGCTAAGTCAAATAAGTGAAAGTACCCATGTCAAGGGTAAAATAGTTATAGTCCAAGGTAGGATGTCAAACAAGGTCCACCTATACATGAATATATTACTATAATGTACTCCTAAGTACCTTAGGGCAAGAGAGAGGGGTCATAAATGAATTGAAAAAATAAAAAACAGAAGAAGGGAGGAATAACAGGGACCGATCAATGTGTAAGGTCCTCACGTCGACTGAAATGAGCAACTCAATTGACGTGAAGGTCTCTTTACGTCAAACGAAAACTGGGCTTCAACAAAAGTGCATTGCCAAAAAAAATGAGATACCGATCGACGTGTGGAATCCAAACGTCGACTGAATCTCTGTTGTCTACTGCAACAAAGTGCTGAAATCTGCAGAAAATGCCTTGGTTGTCCTTAGATCATTTCTAAAAATCCTAATGGGGTTAAATGTAATGTAAAGGCTAACTTAAAGGTGGTACACAGCATGGTGAGTGAATTCACATATAAAAATGTGTGAAATATACACAAGTGAGCAACATACTTGAAAGCGAACTTGCATTGAACTAAAACGACTCAAGGCCTCATTACATAGCTTAAGTACGGTATCAAAAGAAACATAAAGAAGTGAAAATCACTCGAGAACTCCAAAAGGTGAGAATGAGTTCTTGAGCCATTTTCCTTCTCAAAAATATATTACATCACCAAATGTATTGAGACTAAAATATTGCATAAACCATGCTAAACACTTTACATGTAAACATAAACCAAAAGATATCCCAAACAACTCAAGCAATCCATGCTAAGGCAAATGTGCGTCCACGAAAATCACCTATTTACCTGAAAACATTTAAATCAACAAGGGTGAGTAATTTACATTACTCCGTAGGAAAGTGCACTATATAGTTAAACTAAGTTTCTTTGGCCCTGTAAATATAGTACAAGTAACACAAGTATGGAACATGCCTCCTAATGTCTAGTCTAAGGGAATTCCTAAAGTTTACTTAGAGCTAGCGATTGTATCAATACTTGTAACAACCCTCACCCTATCCAGACACAATATTGTCTGCTTTTAGCTCACCCAGACCAGAGACTTCCTAGGGGGTCACCCATCCTGGTACTACTCCAGGTTAAAAACACTTAACTCCAGAGTTCTGGTAGGTTCATGACCATCACGGCTTTAAAACGCGTTGTGTCATAGAAGGGTGTTGAATCTATATATAACACTTGCCCCATCCACACCCAGGCGATTTAGGATTGTGCACATGTAGCTCGTCCAGTGTGGTAGCCTACTAGTGCCACTTGCACACACACTCGGCCATAAGGTCACCACATTCACCCCCCCCCCCCCTTTAGGGCCCAACGTCTCCGTTGGCCACACTTTCGGCTAGGTCAGGCTCTGATACCATTTGTAACAACCCTCACCCTATCCAGACATAATATTGTCCGCTTTTGGTTCCCCCGGACTAGAGACTTCCCAGGGGGTCACCATCCTGGTACTGCTCCAAGTTAAGCACGTTTAACTCCAGAGTTCTAGTTGGTTCACGGCTTTAAAGTGCGTTATGTCACAGAAGGGTGTTAAATCTATATATAGCACTTGCCCTATCCACACCCAGGCGATGTAGGATTGTGCACATGTTGCTCACCCAGTGTGGTAGCCTACTGATGCCACCTGCACACGCTCATACACACCCATCCACCCACAAGGTCGCCACAATACTTCAGCAACCATTATAATAAGCGAAAAAACAAAACCTATGTAATATGAT